GGGGGAGGGGGGGGAGTTCACATGGCCACAACAAGGCTATATGTAGCGCTGTGAACTTTTGTGTTAGATTCTCATAATCCCAATCGCTTGATCTCGATATCCACTGTGGCCACTTTTAATTTGAGGATCAAGGCCTAATCTCTTATTATTAGCACTGTGGCTGCTCAAGATTTTGTAATGCACCCTTTTTCTGGTTACTCTAATCTGCAAATCCCTCTAATGGTAAACTTTAGAAACTTGAAACTTTGATTTTATATGTTCAATAATTAATAGTTTTTTTTATATATACAAAAATGTTTAATAAGAACGGTTCATAGATAAAAACAACATTAGAAAGGAACTAGCACACAGCCTAGCTATTAACAATAATCACACTCGGTACAGGGTATACTGTTTTCAAAGAAAGAAAAAATATTATCTAATTTTGATTCATTTTGAAATAAAATCTAATGAAACAAGCGTATGTCTAAATTATAAAACTATTCATGATTTATGACTTTTACATTTTATTTCTGAAAAAAACTCGCAAATGAGATAAATCCTCAAAACTTTCACTAAGAAAAATCCGCAAATATGTCGTTTGTTCAGGGAGATCAGAGAGAGAATATCTGTAAGCTGCTGGTACAGTGCGGGTTAGTGAAGCAGGATCAGCTCAAGGTTCACGGTTTCTGAGGAAAGGAAAATAACAGAATTTAACTTAACATATTGGTGTTTTTGTATTTAGAAGATTACATCTAGACATGTATTATACATTTACGAATTAAATTGTTTAAAACTGTTATTTCATCTTTTTCAGGATCGAAGCCAGACAAAATTCTCTTGGGAAACCATTTTTTTCAACACCACATTTTTTCTTTATTAAAACAAATATCAATCCAATGAAGAAAAACACTTTTTTTTAAAGATAAAATGCTAGATTGAGAGAATAGACATCATGAGGGTTGTAGTTCTCCTGATCCTCCTTCTGGGGTGTATCCGGGCTAAAAGCCAGAACGAAGACGACAGGCATCAAACATTTTCATATTATTTTTCGAATCTTATCTTTTTTAACCTGGCATTATGATTAAATAACCCGGTGTAACTTGGAATACAATTTTAAAGACAAATTAAAGGAAAGTAAAGTGAAAATTCAGATTTGTCATGGCCAGAAATTTAAAATAGATATCCTCCCCTCTCCTCCCTTCAATCTATCAATGCACAATTAATTAAAAGGGAAAAAATGTGAAAATAAAATATGTTAGTCGTAAAGGAAGTAAAAGAACTAAACAATCCTCAATCAATCAATCAATGAGTTTTATCTAGGGTTTGCATGCATTAAAAAAAAAAAAACAATTAAATGCCCATCACTCCCATAACAAAAGACATTTTTTGTGACAAGCTTTTTAAAATTTATGCCACGACTTTCTAGTACACGGACCCCTCCTTTCTTATTAGATTGAATCAGGATCCGCATCTCTAGGAAAGAAACTTTATTTGATCAGGGGTCCATATAATTCCATCTGATCAATCCCAAATGTTGATTGATTGATATTAGGGGCAGAAATAAACCATATTGTTATTGTAAACAATTGGAAGTACAATGTCAAGTTGTAGAAAAAAACTCCATACTGCAGAATGTTTACTGCAAGGGAGTGTTTATTTTTCTGTACGTCATATTTATTTCTTATATTAATACTAATACTTTTAACACTCCAAATGCAGTACACATTTCTGAAGTGTAGTTCACGTTCACAAAAACTTGTCAAAGTTCTCAATGACATATAAAGTGTACTTACAACCCCGATCCCATTTTGGATCAGAAATGGAATTATATGGACCCCTGTTAAATTGATGCCTTAATGTTTGTAATGTCAGCAGGGAGGAGGACACTAACGATGATATCATTGTTATCCATGAATCTTGGGAGAATTCAGAGACCAGCACTAGGTAACATTTAAATTAATAAGTATAAAAAATGGATATTGTTTTTAACCGATCCTGCATAGTTATGTAAAATCCTACTAAAATCAAAATTCCACGAAGAATGTTTTATAACGGTTATGAATCACTAATGTGATGTAATTTAGGCTTCCTAATCATTATCTTTTTCAAAATTCATTCAAAAATCTATAATCATGCCATTTGGGGTCTGTAGAGTGTAGACGTTGTCTCAATCAATTAGGTGTTCAGGAACATGTTGAGAAAATAAAAATGAACTATTTTCATCGAAAATGACAAATCTTATTAAGTTATTGGTTTCTGTAATGTCTCAATGTTCACAAACATTCATTGTAGATTTCCTGCAATTTTTATCGAAAAGACGACATTTAAAGAATTTGAATAAATCTGCGAACAAATTCGTAAATACTAAGAAATTCAATATGATGATAATGATGAAAACGAAATAATTGATTTATTGAGAAAAATTCAATTGAGAAATATTTGCCTAAGCATCTAATTAGAAAATTAGAATTTTTTTACATTTTTTGTCGTCATTATTTAATAATTTAAAAAAAATCGATTATCCAAACGTAACCACTCAAATGGATGATTTTGAACGTCGACTTTGCGCTCAAACTCAGTAATTTTACATTATTTAAACGTTTTATAGGTCTCAAATGAATCCTAAACTTCTCCACAATACTTTCTCAGTTCAACTACCATACATTGCCGGTCACTCCCTTTAAGAAAATTAGTTTTCTGCAGAAAGAAAAGATTATCTACGTCATGTCAATCGAACGTCCACTCTGCCTGTGTCGAGACACTAGAACTTACGTACACAGTCCCTTTCGTGATCAAAATATCAATTAAATCACTGATTCTAAATTTAGCTCTGATAGCAGTTTCAAAGCACCGGACGACGTTGTCAAGTTTGAAGCTGTTGATGCGATCATAGAACCTACCGTGAATGATAATCAGGTATTACGAGATTACTAGATAACTGGATCTCACATGATTACGTCCCTTACATATTTAATTTCCAAGTTGCATTTTGCTGAAATATCGTTCTGGATTTTGGCGGGGAATGGAGGGGGGGGGGGGAAGTCAACTGGCAAGTCATTATTCCCATTTCTGACACTTCTCATCAAAAATGTTCTATTAATTATCGCCACATTTTACCTGAAAATGTCCAGAGTGAAAGAAGATACATGATTTTAAAAAAGAGGGATTATTTAATTTTTAACTGTTGGTTGTGTAATTAAAGGAAGGGGGAAATTATCAGATTTCATCCAGTTTTTTCTTTTTCTCGTGGTACCATGCTGTCGTTTCTAGGGTGGTATTTCTCCGGATACCTCCCATTATTTCTCCGGATACCTCCCATTATTTCTCCGAAGACCTCCCATTTTTCAAACATTAACAAGAAAGTTAGTCTGTCGTGTGAAATGTCTACTTAACTGGCGCTTACGATAACTTTCCCCCCGCCCCCACCCCCCTCCTTTAAAATTAATCTCCCTCCAGTAAGGCATGTTTATTAAGGCTGAAAAGGAGATGAGAGAGAAGTATGAAAGTGTGTTAGCGGTTCTAAACTCAAGTTCAGGAGATAAATACCAGGTCGAAAAATATCTTTCTCTTAATTCAAATGAACCTCAGATTTACTACAGTACTCGCCTTTATCTTGTCAATAATGTGGAAGCGTTGTTATTCTATCATAGTGTTTTAACACTGACCATAACTGAAAATAATTGTTACAAAAGAAACTATCAAGGATATCTCATTCATTTTGGATCAGACTTACCTTATAAGGGTACCGGAGTGAATTGGATTTGCCACACTAGAGAATTTCAAGTCACTAATAACGACTACAATCATTCCAAATAAATAAATTATTTTAAAATCTAACAGGACAGCGACCAATCAATGATGATTGATATTTTGATGTGGGATGTTCTTGGCTGGAAATGGGTCTTAGACTGGGATGAGATTGGGATTGGTTGTTTTGGGTTGGGATGTGGACTGGGATGGGTTATTATGGGTTGGGTTGTGGATTGGGATGGGATGGGATGTGGATTAGGATGGGATGTGGATTAGGATGGGATGTGGATTAGGATGGGATGTGGATTAGGATGGGATGTGGATTGGGATGGGATGTGGATTGGGATGGGTTGTTATGGGTTGGGATGTGGATTAGGATGGGATGTGGATTAGGATGGGATTGGGAAAGGGTAGATGGGACGGCGATGACAATTTTAAACAATTTTTCAGGCCTGGATTACTATGACCGAATTAGGAGAACTTAAGTACTCTCCTGCTTTAATTACAATTGCTTGGGCCAAGCTGCTTGGAACCCATACCAGGTGAAATACAGTGGTCTCTTAAATAATACGGAATGTTAAAGGGAATTTACCCTTTTAAACATATGCAACAGCAAGGAATAAACCGGTTTTTTAATCTGGAAATATTTTGAATTTTGACAATTGCATTAAAAAATATAGGTGTCTTAATCATCAGTTTAGTTTTGTAAATCGTAATTGGAGCGTAATTTTTAATTTGAATTCGACAGAACTATTCAATAACGTCCTACTTCATTTCTTACTTAAATAGGATTCATATTTTATACCGTAAATTTCTTTAATGAGTTTCGCAAATTAGTTGTGTATATTGCACATTTCTTTGCAACATAAAAGTACGATAAAGTCATACATTTCTACACACTTAATATTGTTTTATTTTAGGTTTAAATAACTAGTTGTTCCGATGCTCTGACAAAGATTTTTCCAAAAACCCGGGGTTTCGCTTTCACTTTGCCTATTATTTTAGGTTTTTTTACGAATTTGTCAAAAAACAATCAATATATATATTTATATAAATATTTATCATAACATTCTTGGGATTTTCTTGTACTCCTTGAAGAAACATTAGATCAATAAAATCCCTTAATTAGAGTTTTGTCCCCACTTCAAATTTGACGACTAGACCCTTTAATAAGTTTGTTTGTACTGCAAACAGAACCTGGATTTCAAATTTGAGGACTAGACCCTTTTATTAGTTTGTCTGTACTGCAGGCAGAACCTGGATTTGCGCTACCCGGATCCATATCAACGTTTCCTGATACGGATCCGGATCCGGATCCGACCAAATGATACGGATCCGACCGGATCCGGATCCGAAACGCTGCTCCAAATATTCCCCAGCTGATAAATATTTTCCTTTTTTGAATGGTTGTAAAAATCATAATTTTTTGTAGAGACATTTTTTCAAATTGGTTCCTAAAAATGCGTGATACTTGATTCATTTGAAGGATCGAATTCCTTTTTTTTTCAGCTATAATGATAATAAAAAAAGAAAATGTTAATAGTATTAATACGGATATTAATAATAATGGTAATAGTAATAATAATAATAATAATGATTTCTAAGAGTTACTCCTAGTAGTAATTGTTTAGGAACTCTACAAAACTCAAGTCAAAGCAAAGCTCTGCTTCACTACACCTTTGGGGCTTTCGGGGGCTCGCCTTGGGCTCAGATGGCTTTAGGATACAGGTAGGTTTGCAGCTAAGTTCTTCTTATGGAGGGGCTGTAGAGTGTATACGTAATTTCAAGTAGCCCTCCATTTATATATTCAGAACGATATCCTTCAAACCTTTGCCTGATCAGGGATGAATGAAATATTCTTGTTTTTTATCTGAAAATGAATTTATTTTAATTGTGGTTTTAACGAAAAATGATTTGTGGATTCATGTGCCAGATAAAAGGAATGCAATTGACATAACTCAAGTTAAATTAAGATAAAAGAGTTTATTTGGGGAAAATATAGATTTTTTATAAAAATAAAATAATCCTAAAGAGCTATGACTTGATGTCCAATTTTTAAATCCCCCAATCTTCACAAAAAAAATTGTGAGGGTGAATTTTTTATAATGTAATATTTACTTCTTAAGACCTGTTTGTTCTAGATACTTCTCCGGGAGTGGTGTAGCTGCTAGCTGTGAAAAAGCTCTTGATTACTACAGAAGAGTAGCAGCTAGTGTAGCTGCTGAGGTGTCCTTTAGTGGAGGAGCTACGGTGCAGAGAATTCGGTTACAGGTTGGTAATATTTTAAATAATACTAGCTGAAGGGCCTGGCGTTGCCCGTGGAAAAAAAGAAAAATTTCGATTTTTTTAGTCTACAACACCCCCCCCCCTGGCTTCCCATGAGTGTCAACAAAAAATTTCAGCTCAATCAATCCAGTCGTTTGCCCGGCTATAGGCAGCATATATATATATATATATACGAATGTCTTGTTTTATTATATAGATAAAGACTAAAGAGCCTTTTGACCCTCCCTTTAAAAAGTTACATTTACGGAAGCTATGTCGGGCAGAAGAGATAAAAACAATCTATCTTGTTTTTTATCCAAACAACGTAATAAACGCACTTGAAATGACATTGGCAAAATTTATTTTTATAAGATAGGAAACGACGATTACTATGCGATTACTACAAGGGAAGAAAGTTCCAAACCCAGACCTGACACTGAGTGTCAGGTCTGGGCCAAATGTGCAAAGTAATCTTTTCTAATTGTTAGCATTAATCAATTTAAGTCCAGAAGTAAAAATCCGTCTGCACTCTGCATGCTTTGATTTAAAATATTTAAGGCTACATTTTTATTAAAAAATTGAACCCCTAAAAATAAATAAATTTAAATTTTAGATGATACTTGATTTCATTTTAGAAGATGTCACATTTTGAAGCAAATTCAAAGTCGCAAAACACGTTTTGAAACATTCGCGATTTTGAGATATTTCACAGATTTGAATTAATTATTTTTTCAAGCATTTACTCAATTTGGTAACTAAACAAGTTTTTTGCATAGAGAATAATTTAAATAATAATTAAAATAATGAATCAATAAAAATAAAAATAATATATTCTGAGTTGAAAACTTTAGAATGATGAATATCAGAATCAATGCTTGATCCTCTCTTTTAATCTACCTTAAGTCTTTAGAATGATTATAGAGATTAGAAATGCGCTCTTAAACTTCTGAAAAACCGTTTTTTAATTTTTCCGCATTTCTTATTAACATGATTAAACTTATATTTGTTTGAATGCTCTAAAAGCCGGCTTGTGAACAGCTGATTTTAGTTCAATCGGATATTAGTCCAATCGATATAGCATCATACCTGTAATTGTTATCAAATGTAACTTTAATACAGTAGGGATATCCAAAGGAGAGGATTAAGAAGAAAATAAATAAGTATGTACATTGGATACTCAGATCGGGATTAAGGATATTTCATTCAAAAGTTTTCAGTTTTGTTCTTATATTTCAAAATATAACGACTTAAAGCATTTAAGGTTTTATTTAAAAGAAAAAATAAAGAATCAACGACGGCCAAATTGAAAATTTGTTAAAGTGAAAAATTAAATACACCATGCAGAGATTTAAAAAAAAATTCCAAAAAATCTAGGATCGACTGAGATATAACAGCTGTTAAGCACACCCACAAAATTGCATGAAAGCTGACCCAGAATAGTGTAGATCGATAGATAAAGGCTTATCTATATGCGGGCCGTGTTCCAAACCGTGCTTACCTTAACAACCTGACACTGAGTGTGAGGCTTGGGCACACATATTATGATCAACGTTTTAGTAACTGTCCTTGTCCCGAGTTCAAATATCATTTGAAGAAACTAATGAAAACAACAAAAAAATATAACTTTTAAATTTGTAAGGGGTCTTTCATTTTTAATAAAAACCCAAACCATTTTCGAAACAATTCAAGGTTTTCCATTTTCGCACATGCCTTGAATTTGAATCTTGCACTTTTCATGATCTGCAGATTAGTATGAATCACCGAAAATATATGTATCTTGATCTTTTTTCACATTACACTTTTAAATACGGATTGTGTCTGCAAGGTTTGGAACTCTCTTCCCCTGTATTAGATACTAAATAAGATACTAGATAATTGTTCAATCCTAGGATGAGATGGATAGTGGAGGGTATGGAGGAATACTGGATAATGACCTTATTGAATACTATCAACTACTGGCTGACAAGGGAGATGTACAGGCTCAAGTAGGGCTAGGACAGCTACACTATCAGGTAAGAGAAAATTATAAATTAGCCTCAGTTGGCATTTTTTTATGGACTGACCTAGATCTATTCGGTAATGAATCTAAATCGGAGTCTAAAGCTAAAGATTGCGCTAAATTTAAGTTGTAAGCTTAAAAGTTCTGAAAAATAATTAGTTAAATACTGAAATATTAACCTTTCTCAATTTAACCCTGAAGGTGAAATTTAAATTTTCATGGTGAACATATGAACCAATCAGATTACGGGAATTACGGTTCGGATCGACAGAGATTATGCTACATCAGCTGTTAAATCAGATTACGGGAATTACGGTACGGATCAACAGAGATTATGCTACATCAGCTGTTAAATCAGATTACGGGAATTACGGTTCGGATCGACAGAGATTATGCTACATTAGCTGTTAAATCAGATTACGGGAATTAAGGTACGGATCGACAGAGATTATAGTAAATCAGCTGTTAAAATCGTAATTTTTATATGTTTACGTACGTAACTGCAGCGCTAACAAAATATTTCGACGTGATGTATTTATTTTAGATTACGGGAAAAAGATTTATTAACTTAAATCGTCAGATAAATCATTTTTATGCATTGAAATATCGCAGCTATTCCCGGGTTTGAATTTTAACTTGCCGAAATTGACGAGTTAAATATTTAAGCTATAGCTTAAAATTCAGGTTTAATGTAAGTCAGAAGTGGCCTAAGTTGAAACTTAACACTTAAGTCGCAACTTATCGTTCTTAATCTTTAGTTTTGGACTCCGGAAGATATTCGGAAATCTCAAAAGTCAAAGGTTTGGCAAATAAAAGGCAATCAATGGAATTCAGCTCGTTCAAACTGACATTATTAAAATTCGTCAATTAAAAGTATTTTCAGAGAGAAAATATAGTGCTCATATAAATTGTTTGAACTTGATAACCACATCAGACACTTTTAATTTAATATTTTGACTTTTTAATCCGTTTGAACTGTCTTTTTTAAAGTTACAGAGCTTTCATCGACCTTGAGAGACTTAATCCTGTTAACTCTAAAATATACGGATTAGTGAACTAAAATATACGGATTAGTGAACTAAAAAGGGATAAAAAACCAGTTTCGACCTTTGCGCTCTGGTCTAATTTTTGATACTATGCCAAACTTTGATTCATATATAAACGGAATTTCATGACGATTGTGTGAAGAATTGATAATCGTCTTTGGTCTTATAAGCAATTTGCAGCATGGATTCAAAATTGATGAACAATTGCTTTCAGGGTGGTCGAGGGATTGCTCGGGACCCTGAGCAAGCTCTTCACTATTTCCAGCAGGCAGCGGAGTCGGGGAATGCTGTGGCAATGGCGTTTTTAGGTATATCGAAAATTTAGTGCTTAGGACCCGAATCCATTAGATGAGCAACAATTTGGCTTTCTGGATCCGGATCCACAATGAGTGAAATATCAAGACAAAAATTTCAACTGCTCACGAACAAGAGAAAAATAATAATTTCCGATTTCTTAAATGTTCATTAAATTTAAGAAACGCAAAAAATTATTTTATTCCTGTAGTCAAGGAACATTAGGAACCCGCAAATTAAGATTTACGCTAAGTGTATGAAGTACTCTCTGGCAACAGACTTATTGCCCCCACAACCTGGGGCAGGACCAAAGCTTTACAAACCTAAAACATTTTCTTAAACTTGTGTTGAAAGCTAATTTCCGGAGATCAAAATATAAATTTTTTGTTTGTTCATCATACCCTATCCGTGCCTTTAAGTATATTTTTAACGGTAGTAAGCCTCAAACTTTAATTTAAACAGCCTCTATGGATTCTATATTGATAAAGCTTCTACAGATGAAAGGGTAACATGTCCAAGATAATTTTTGCTATTTTTACGATTTTTAAATAAAGGTGGGTTTTTAAATAAAACCCCTTCTTACATTTTTTCAAAATCCAAACTTCATATTAATGCATTATACTATTGCTATTTGCAAATGCCAAAGTTTTGTGCTAATATTTGCAAACCAAGAGCAAGATACAGGCCAGTTTCATAATTCATTGATGCACTAAATTTTTATGTAATTCTTAGTATTTAAGTAAATATGTAAAATTGATCATTGTGTAATTGTCAAAACTTTTTGTTTTCTTAACTTTAATATTGGAAATCTAATCTCTAAGACCCCTTTTTCAATTTCAAAGTAAAATTAAGCATTTGCATAATTCAGTGGAACTCACTGTATATACTATATATTATAATATATTGCCTGTTATCAGGAAAGATATACCTTGAGGGAAGTGAGGTAGCCAAGCCGAGTAATGAGACTGCCTTCAAGTACTTTAAGAAGGCCGCCAGTCTTAACAATCCAGTTGGACAATCAGGTTTCTAGATTTTAGATTCTGAAAGGGACTGTAAGCGTAATTTAAGTGAACCTCCATTCAAGATAGATATACCCTATTCACAAGGGAACCCTTAAAACGTTTATCTGACAAAAAGGTGGAAGCTATGGTCTTTTTTTATGACTCGGCAAGGGTTCATTTTTGTGAATTTCACCTTTGTCTCTTACAAGTAAGAAATTCGCATTGCTCAAGTCACTTTTCAATATTTTGGAGAGAACCCAAAAATGAAAAAACAAAAGTAAGCATATCTAATTCATCCTTGATCAGACAAGGCTTTTTAGGGTACCGTTGTAAATCGGGCATTGCTATCTTTGCATGTAGAGTCACTTGAAATTATCTTTAATTAGACATCAAATTCAATCTTACTTAGTAAATATATCCCTAGAATTATCCTGGACTGGTGACTGGTATCAATACTGGGAAAAATTATTTTTATTTTAAGATGTGGGAGAAAAAAATTCTTAAAATAGTTAGGAAAGAGGGAGGTGGAGGGAGGGAGGGAAGAAAAGTGTTCATTTTTTTGATTGATTTCTTGCCTAAAATTTTAATTTTCTAATCCTTTTATTAAAAAATTAGAGTTTGAAGCGAGTAATCAGTTCCTTTATCTAAGGTTTGGGTATCCTCTATCTCTATGGAAAAGGTGTTGACAAGGACTATAAGAGAGCTTTTGAATACTTCAGCAAGGTAGGACTAGGGTCGTATCTTGTATTTAGTTATCAATAACCAAGGATAATAATAATGAAGTTCGGTTTGAAAACTCGTTTAGTTTAAAGTTTGAACAAGAGAAAAACAGCTTTTTCAGATTCTCATTCTAGAAGAAAAGAATTTTAAGATTATTTCCAATATCTGGAAAGTTTTTATTTTAATCAATCTTATCTGTCCACACTTTGCAAACACTAGACTTTAAAAGTTTTAAAGGTTTAACAGAACTAGGATCTATCAACCATTTTCAGCCTATTTTATCCTCGACTAAAACTGCTACAGCTTCTGCAAGTTCTGAATTTTTCATTGCGGATCCGGATCAAAATGAAATGGATCCTAAGTACTGAAAGTACAGTGAGTACAGTAAGTGCAGTATAAGCACTGTTTAAAAAACACAGTACAATAAGTTCAGTACAGTACAATAATTACAGTACAGTACAGTACAGTACAGTACAGTACAGTACAGTACAGTACAGTACAGTTTTAGGCTGCAGAACAAAGCTGGGTTGACGGTCAACTTTACCTGGGTAACATGTACTATCAGGTGAATGCTTGAATTTGAAATTTGCACGGGCGTAATTTTTATTCAATTTTATTCGCTGATTCAGGCAAAAAAAAATTTTAAAAACTTGAGGATAAAAAGTACAAAAACAGGGTGAACAAAAGCGGGATAATATAATCTGAAAATTAAACATAAAAATGTATTTTATCTATTAATTGACGCCTTTTTGTGTATAGGGTTGGGGCGTGAAGCGAGATTACAAAATGGCGATCAAGTATTACAACCTGGCCAGCCAGTCTGGTCACGTTCTGGCTTTCTTTAATCTCGCTGATATGCACGCCACCGGAACAGGTATTCCACTTGCTCACCTCTCAGTGCTATTATTTTAAATTTCCAGTTTAAAATCAAAAAAGTCAAACAACTACATTTACAAAGCACCGCACGTGAAAGCTATAAATTTGACAAGAAGGAGGGATGTCCCTGATACATTTTTTTATTAGATTTGCACTCCCCCCCCCTCCCTCCCCCCCAGCCATTTTTCCTCCTAAATCAATTTGTTTTCTGACATTCTGAGGGATCAAAATTATTAGATTATTTTTGTTAGGAATGCTCCGAAGTTGTCCGACTGCGGTTGAATTGTACAAGAATGTTGCAGAGAGAGGAAAGTGGGGAGAATATTTGATGGAGGAACAAAACTAGTTTTACTAAACCAACTACCCTTCATTAATCGTACAGTAAATGTACTGGGGGGGGGGAGGTTAAAGTGAAGATTTCTTTTAAAAGAACATCGACATAAATTTTAAAATTTGGGTGGTTGAAAATTTAAGACCCGTAAAGGAATTGAAACTCTGGTCCGACCACTGGTACCAAAAGTAGTTGAACTAGATAGGACTGGTTAAACCGCTTTAATGAAATAAATCTGTAATAACACTGTCTGAAAGCTAGCTGATTTTATCTGCCTAGTTTTCCAAATTTTGCAGACTTGGCGTGGGCTCACTCTGACAACAAATTTGGGAATAATTTCATGTTTATAAAAAGAATATATTTCAGTTTTAGAACAGATTATTTCAGTTTTGAAGGGAATTTTCCAGTTTATAAATTGAATATACCAGTTTATCAAGGGAATATACCAGTTTATCAAGGGAATATACCAGTATTTGCAGAGAATATTCCAGTTTTTGTATTGAATATTCCAGAAAATTCCAATTATTGTAGAGAATTTTCCAGTTTATGAAACGTTTATTCCAGTTTTTGGTGGAATATTTTAGTGAACATTTAGTTTTTTTTTGGAATATTCCAGTTTTTGAAAGGAATATTCTAGTATTTGCAGAGAATATTCGAGTTTTTTTATTGAATATTCCAGTTTTGCAGAGAATTTTCCAGTTTAAGAGACGTTTATTTCAGTTTTTGAAGGGAAAATTCCAGTTTTCGATGGAATATTCCAGTTTTTGGTAGAAAATTCCAGTTTTTGATGGAATATTCTATTTTTTGGTGGAATAATAAAGTTTGTGATGGAAAATGGTTTTTTAAAAGTAAAATTACAGTTTTTGGTGGAATATTCTAGTTTTTGATGCAATATTCCAGTTTTTGATGGAATATTCCAGTTTTTGATGGAATATTCCAGTTTTTAATGGAATATTCAAGTTTTTGATGAAATATTTAAGTCTTGAAGGGAAAATTCCAGTTTATGAAGTGAAGGACACGATTAAACTAGTTTGGTTTGGTGTAGGCTCACTCTGATTACAAGAACGGATTATATGACAAGGCTCTGCTAAAGTATCTTCTCCTGGCAGAGCTAGGGTTCGAGGTGGCTCAGAGCAACACTGCTTACATTCTTGACAGGTATTCAATTGATAACGGGTCTAGAGATGTCGAGTTAATCAGAAAATTGTTCTTCTAAAAATAAAGGGTGAGTGTGGGGTCTCTCTACAAACAGACGGTAGTAAGGGTAGTTGCCATCAGATTCAGCTTCTAAGATTCAGAAAAAGCTTCAAAGGGTACAGTTTCGAATCGGACATGCCACTCCATGAATGAAGGTTAACTTGAAATTATGTTTACTGACCCATTGGACATCAGGGTTTTTCTAATTCAAAATGCCGTCATTATTTTAAAACATGTAAAACTTCTCTTTAAATCTTTTATTCATATTTATCACATAATTGTACGTAACTGTATATACAACCTTGGGATTATAGATATGTTATTATTCATAATTGGATTAATATTTCTTATTAAATTGTATATATGCGGTGCTGCAATTTGATATGATAAGGTTTTATTAGAAACAGTAAAATTAGCATCTATTGTTATCCTTTAAGAATTCACAAACAACTGTTTATAAAATCCGCAAACAGTTCGACCAAAAAATAGGATGGTTTTCCAGGAGTCGGAACTTCCGTTAGGATTATCCTTAATCTTTAACGCCTGATATCAATATCCGAAGTGGGCAGTTTTTATTTGAGAATAAATGCTTGAACTCTCAATTAAAGGTATCCTTGGATTTGGTTGGATANTAATTATTTATCTAATTTCTGTCATTTTTATATATCTAGTTTAAGTATTATTATTTATCGAATTTCTATCATTTTTATTTATCTGATTTTTTAAAATTTTCAAATATAAATGGTTATATCATTGGATCCGGATAAATTTTTTTGCAAACCTTTTTAGGATTTGGATTTATTATTGAAAAACAACAAATCCTAGTTGCCAACGGAAAAAAAATGATTTAAATTTCAGTTGTGAATTTTTGTTTTGGATATCCAGGAGATGAAATCTAGTCTTCCACTCGGATTTAGATTTAATAAAATAAAAATCCAGCTCTGATCTTGAAATAGTAAATCATCATAATATTTACGCGCCTAACAATAAGAAGAAAAATCGAGAAAAAAATTATCTTTTTTAAAATGTTAAAACTTAAGCCCATTGTTAACAATTTGAAAATCTTATGAATATGAAATGGATCATAAGCACTGAAGTAAAATTCTTTTAAAATAAAAGAATTTGTTGCTAAAAATAACCTTGTAGGGGTATAGTGCTGCCAGGGTACGACTAGGGGACTACTACTACTATGGCTGGGGGACTATTATTGACTATGAAATGGCTGCATCACATTACAGGATAGCTAGTGAGCAGCAGAACAATGCTCAGGTATAGTATAGTTATAAAGATAAGCGTATAGATGAACTTAAAGGGAGTGACCGGCTATGTTAGGTAGTTGAACTGAGTATGCAGTGTTGTGGAAAACTTCTTTCAGATTCATTTGAGTCAAATTTAACTTTTTAAAGATCTGTAAATCCTGAGTTTGAGCGCAAATTTGACGTTCAAAACTCCTACTTTGAGGGTGAATACGTTTTCAGAATTCGCTTTTTTTTTAAATTTAAAAAATATATTATCTATATTTGATTTCTTGTAACACAAATAGTTTTACAAATAGCTTGATAATCAACTTATTATTGAATTGGGTTTGTAAATACGGCACAATTATACAATTTATATCTGCTATTAAAGCTTTAGTCAAACAGTCGTCTTGCGATTTAACAGTTTTCTGGGCCTCTCTTTATATAATATGACGCTGTGCTTAATATACAATATTTTCATATTCAGCTTGCTGTGTTGTTTGCTGTAAAGAATGCAGAGGATTTGAAGATTATAGTGGGTAAGTAAAAATTTAAAATTTAGTTCAGATTTGGTTCAAAAGTATTTTAGATAGAGGTGGGGAGTAGAGTAATTTTATGCACAATACAAAAAATTTAAGACTGCAGTGCAACGTAATCATTATTATCAGTTTTTAGCCTTTTCCTATAGGAATTCCCTTGGGATTCCCTTGAACCATATTGGGATCTAATCTTAGTTAACTGAGGTCCTGAAACTTGGAATTCTCTTGAACTATATATTGGGATCTTTACTTGGTATCTTTACCTAGGTCCGGAAACTTGGGATTTCCTTGAACCATATTGGGATCTAAACTTGGTTTATCGAGGTCCTGAGGCCTGAAACTTGGGATTCACTTCAACCATATTGGGATAATTATTTGGTATCTTGACCTAGGTCCTGAAACTTGGGATTCCCTTAAACTATATTTTTATCTAAACCTAGAATCTTTACCTAGGTCATGAAACTTGGGATTCTCTTGAACATATTGGGATCTTTATTTGGTATATTGACCTAGGTCCTGAAACTTAAGATTCTCTTGAACTTTATTTGGATCTTTACTTGGTATCTTTACCTAGGTCCGGAAACTTGGGATTTCCTTGAACCATATTGGGATCTAAACTTAGTTTATCGAGGTCCTGAGACCTGAAACTTGGGATTCTCTTGAACTATATTGTCATCTAAACCTAGAAACTTCACCTAGGTCATGAAACTTGGGATTCTCTTGAACTATATTGGGAGCTAAACTTTGTACCTTTACCTAGACATGAAACTTGGGATTCTCTTGAACTATATTAGGGTCTTTACTTGGTATCTTTACCTAGATACTGAAACTTGGGATTCTCTTGAACTATATTGGGAGCTAAACTTTGTACCTTTACCTAGACATGAAACTTGAGATTCTCTTGAACTTTACTGGGATCTTTACTTGGTATCTTTACCTAGGTCCTGAAACTTGGGATTCTCTTGAACTTTACTGGGATCTTTACGTGGTATCTTTACCTAGATACTGAAACTTGGGATTCTCTTGAACTAAATTGGGAGTTAAACTTTGTACCTTTACATAGGTCCTGAAACTTGGGAATCTCTTAAACTTTACTGGGATCTTTACTTGGTATTTTTACCTAGATACTGAAACTTGGGATTCTCTTGAACTAAATTGGGAGCTAAACTTTGTACCTTTACCTAGGTCCTGAAACTTGGGATTCTCTTGAACTATATTGGGATCTTTACTTGGTATCTCTTCTCTTCCTTGTCCTCGGTTTAATGCTTATACTTCGTCGGCCTCCAAATCAGGTAGGAAAACATATTATATCATATCTGTTCGGTTCCATAGTAGAAAACCTATCGTGTAAAAATTCCCATTATTACACGGTTCAGGAGGAACAGTTTTAATATTGTTCGCTTCCTGGAGTTTAAGAATGCTTATTCTTACACTGTAGGTGTAGAATTTTCATTCTTTACCGTGTAAGAATGGAAATTTTTACACGGTCAGAGCGTGAAAGAATGTATATTCTTACACGCTCCGAGCATTAAAGAATGGAAATTATCACACTAGTTGAAGAATATTCATTCTTATACGCTCATTGTATTGATCTTTTCAACGTAGATCAATATTGATATTAACTTAATTATTTTGTACTGACAACATGCACAGGGTGCCCTTAAGTTTTCTTTTATATTAATACATGCAAACTTACCTTTTTCTTTAATATTAAAACATGCAAACTTACCTTTTTTACTAAAGCAAAACATACTCACTTACCTTTTTCGTTTTTTTAAGTTTTCATATACCTTAATTCAGTAATATCCATTTAGATCTCAACATTAGTCTACTGTGTTTAATTAACATTTTCTGAAATTCTGACCTTTCCAAAAAATGGACAATGCTTTAAGCTTTGCATTGGACATTTTCATCTAACTGCCGAGTCTCAAAGCATACTGCCCGACTGCCTACTTTATTCAATTTTTTTAAAAGTTTATCTTCATTGCAAACCAAGTTTGGTGATATTTTGCAAACCTGTGCATAGTGCATATTTGTAATAGTACGGTCAGAGCTTTTCAAAAATGGAAAGGTTGTCATGTCTCCACAATTTCAATCAATTGTTTTTTCACTTTACATTAAAATTCAGTTGTAATTATCAAACAAATTAGACAGAATAAAGAGGTCGATTTGCCCCCCACCCTACAGCTAACACTAGTTTTAAAGTAGCTCGGTCTGAGTCAGTAGTCACCATATCTCGCATAGCTCGAGATGATGAAGTGAAACCACAATCAAACCAGAAATGTTATCTTATAAAAACTTATTGAAATACTAGTGTCGCAAACTTTTAATGGAGTCTTAGCACTCCATAGCAATGAAAACAAACCAGTAAATCTTGCTTCATGAATAAAAGACAAAGATCTTCATCAGTTCATGTCAAACTGATTCTTACTAGATAACCTGCTTTTATCTCCTCTTTTTGGAAGATTTAGGATCTAATATCCAGAAAATGATTTCTTCTATAAATGAAGACACGATATTGTTCAGTAGATTAAGACAACCCACTACTATACCTTCTCCCCATCTAAAAAAAAACTCAGGGCACATTCAACATGCTGTGTCTAAATGTAGTATTAACTTGAAAAAACAAGCAAATCATTAGAAATTAATAAATAAACAAACTAAACTAAGGAAACAATCACACCACATGCATTACTTTCAAATTAAGAACCAATTATTTACTTAAAAAATGGTTTTCAACATTTTAACATTAGAAAATAAAAAAACAGTGATAGTTAGAACAAGAGAATAAAACTTATTTGCAACCTTTCACAATGTTAACAATTCCAACTTGAAATAATGGGATTTCACCAGACTTATTTTTTACTGTAGTTTCTTGGGTATGTGTATCACAAATATGATATAATAATAATCTTATGAGGATAAAAATGTAAAAATGGAATTCTTAAACTCGATGAAATAATACATTTTTTTCCCATAAGATTATCATATTACCTAGTTTTTCCTCTTTTTGTTAGTACTTAGTTTTTGTCCAAAATTCATGTATTTTCTCTGAAAAACTGAAAGAATTTTTTAAAGAACATTCATACGTATAAAGTTCAATAATGACATTCCTAACACTTTGGGGGAATTAAAGTTCAGATGAGAGGGGGTAAGTTATTTTTTTAAATATGTACCTCGGATTTTTAAAATTTATTGCAGAGATTGCAGCGAGGACAACAACAACATCAACATCATCAACATCAGCGGAACGGAGTACCTGCCCCTACCACCACACCACGCCCACCAGCAGCTGCTACGCCTCCTGGGGCTGCTACCACGCCTCCAGCTGCTTCTACAAGATCAGGAGCAACCTCATCGCCATCTGTTGCTAGTTTTCCTGCTCCTGAAGCAGCTTTAAATTCAGCAACAGCATCAAGTACCACACCTATTTCAGACGGAGTAGCTAAAACTGAAGCAGTTGGAGCTACAAACGGAGCAGCTGCAGAAGCTGCTTCTTCTAATGAGGACAAGAAGAATGAATAGATTATTTATATATTTGCTGTATCACATTTTGAGTTATTGATCGAAACAAAATTCATACTGAATCTTTTTGTTTTGGTGTTTTTCACTTGCATTCCTTATATTAAATTTTCCTACTTACTTTTTGTTGTAAAAGATTTTTTTCTTATAGCAGAAAATTTTTGGTTTTCAAAACTAACTTATAATTTTACCTATTCATCAAGATTGGCGAGCTCTGCGTCATAATATCTTGATCAATTAAAGAAAACTGTTAATCGTGAAGTTAATATTTTTGTTGAGTTTCTAATTTGTTTAATAATTTTGTTATTGTGAGCTTGTAGCAACTTGTTCAATGGGGTTTATTGTTCCCTATCTTGAGGTCAAGGTATTTAAGCAAACTGGTTCAACTGCTTCTCTCTGCTTGACCCGTACAAGAGAAGTATTTGAACCAGTCGTTTCTAGTTAAACCACCTCATTTAGAAACATTGTTTTAATTCTTTTCGATACAATTTTTCTAAAAAATTCATTGATTTTGATTGATTGAGAAAGCATTCCTGATTCACAATGGTAACCTTGACACCTTTATCTTATCAAGTATGTAGAAGATAATGTTGTTCTTATGAGATAGAAAAGTGTTCATTAAACATGAGATCAAATGCATTCTTCATCATAAAAAGTTACCATTGTGAACCGGTCCTACTCCTATTTAGAAGGGTAACTTGACATTATGTGGACGACATCAATTCAGGAAATGGAACTAGGGATATGAATGATTGATTGCTATGTTTTAGATCCCTGCCACTCTTTACTCGGTACTGGTTCGGGCTGACCGTCCTCTTCACCCTTCTTGGTAGATTTGGTCTCCTTGCTCCTTCCTGGCTAATTCTAACCTGGGATACATTTATTAATCAGTAAGTCGGGCTTTTTTCTAGAAAAATCTTCCAAACAAATTTTTTTTGCTAAATTGGGCAATAGAGGTCTAATATGAGACCATAAGATTTTTTTTATGATTGTTATTATATCGTATGTCAGGAGATGCAGGGTTACCCATTAAGGATGAGACTGTAAAGACGACTTACAACTCTGTACTATCGTCTGTGAAGTCTATATCGTATAAATATATGTTTAAAGGGGAAAACTTAAAAATATGCAGATGCAGTATTTTAAAATGCTGCACATCCTTTGTGGGTAACCCTGTATATATAAATATACAAATAATAAAACGTGTATGTATTTTCTTATACAGCTGTATATAAACTTGTCTATATTTTCTTATATGAGTCTATGCTATGCATGCATCTTATGTAGCTGTATATAAACTTGTCTATATTTTCTTATATGAGTCTATGCTATGCATGCATCTTATGCAGCTGTATATAAACTTGTCTATTATATGAGTCTATGCTATGCATGCATCTTATGTAGCTGTATATAAACTTGTCTATATTTTCTTATATGAGTCTATGCTATGCATGCATCTTATGCAGCTGTATATAAACTTGTCTATATTTTCTTATATGAGTCTGTGCTATGCATTCATCTTATGCAGCTGTATATAAACTTGTATATATTTTCTTATATGAGTCTATGCTATGCATGCATCTTATGCAGCTGTATATAAACTTGTCTATATTTTCTTATACGAGTCTATGCTATGCATGCATCGTATGCGTGGCAGCCATATAGAAACTTTATTTATATATTTTTGGTGTTAGGTTATTTCCACTGCAGAACTTCCCCAGCAGTAACTTCCCCAACTGTCAATTTCCCCAGTCATAATTTTCCCAGCAGAAACTTCCCCATGCAGTAAAATATTAAATATTTCCGTTTTTAACATTATTCCAATGAACAGCTGCGCAATTTGAAGATTAAAAATTTCCAACTTTTCAAATAATCAATTAGGTAAAGACAATTCCGGGCCGAGCGCTGCGGCTAGGATGGGCTAGGGGGCCAAGCGCTGCGGCCTCTTAAATATTGAATGTTGATTTTAGCTGATTATATTCCGCTTCTTATTTAGCAATTTTCTCAAAATTTTGTAACCTAACCTAAAATAATGAACTTACTTGATACTTGTGAAGTAATTTTCCATCTTCCAAATAGGAATGTTGAGAATATCTTGATTTCCTCATGTAATTCCAGACACAGGAGATAATGTGAGAGATAATTCTCGGCCAAATATGGAGAATTCGGTTATGTGCGATGTTGTATAATCTGTAAAGATTGTAAAAAACTTAATATATTTCAATTATTTGGGAAAAATTGTCGTTGGGGAAGTTGCTGTTAGGGAAATTAAGAATTTTACTGACAGGGAAAGTTTTAGTTGCTGATGGGGAATTTCCGTTTGGGGGAATTATGTTATTTCCTATTTGCTTTATGCAACTAAGCACGTTTATGCAAATGATAAAACTCGTTTTTAACTCCTATGGTTTCATATCGCTCCTCGGGTATAAAATTAGGGGAATACATAATCATATGGGGAACTCATTATCCAATTTATAATTTTTTCCACAATTCTGCGAAAATCGTTTAATTTTTATTTGTATCACTTTTAAAATGTGTGGACAAGTTGTTCAAAAATTGTCAGTTTTTGATATTAAAAAGTCAAGGCTGACAATAGTTTAATAAGTCCAGATTTTTTACAGGTTTTGCGCAATTTAAGTCCTGTTACCTTAATTAAACAACATCATTCTATCTCAGGTTTCATATTTGGCGTCCAGTGACAGCTCTCTTCTATTATCCACTCTCTCCTCAAACTGGATTCCATTTTCTTATCAACTTATACTTCCTCTACAACTACAGGTACAGTTACAGCTCAGTTTGTTTTGCGCTTGTCAATCTGTGATTTCTTATCTCTTTAATATGCCATGAATTCTTTTTGATTAAAAAGTTTAAGGATTATTAAACTCTGACACCAACAGGTTGCAAAGAGACATATATAACAATGAAATATCAGTTCCTAGATTTGAAGTTGTCACTAAAAAGTATCAAATACATTTACGTTATTTGAAATTCAAGTTTTGAAAATAATTTAATTTTCATGACATTATTTGCAAGATTTATATCTACAGGATCTTCTTGACACCATAATGATTATAATATTTACTTGTCGAACATTTTCCCTACAATCGGTAGTTTACATTTATATTTAATAAACCTTAAATCATATAGTTCATTTTTATTGAGCAATGATTTATTTCACATGCAAGTTTAATTTAAAAATGAGAAATGCTACAGGGTAATCAACAAAAAAATTACGTCCTAAAAATTTTAAAAAAATTTCTTCATCCTTTAATATACACTTTTTACGGCATATTACATATTTTGGCAGAGACAGCAACAAGTGTACAACTGTACAACTGTGTACACTGTACAACTGTAAAGTGTACACAGTGTACAGCTGTAGGGGATTGTAAGAACAAATTCCGAACATATCGTCTTTGAAGTCTCATTCTTTAGGGATAACCCTGTATACTGTATACAGAATACTGTATACTGTATACTGTTAACTGTACCCTGTATACTGAATACTGTATATCTCGTTATAATTTGTATTCTCAGTAAATGACAAGAGTATAGAGGACGTGAGTCAGACTCTAATAAAAACGCATAAATAACTTCCAGTATATATATTTCTTATAACTTATTACTAGAGGGTTCAGAACTAGAGTCAATATCGATATCGCACGTGTAGACTGTAGAGATGATATCAGTACTAATGCCCCGTATCCGTTCTATCTCATTCTGTTGAATCTTGTGGAACTAGTTTAACGCGGCCAGGCATCGTCTTCCACAAGAGATTGATTTTTATTAATATCAATTTATTTTGACTTTTTAATCTTTGTTAATCATACTTTCCATGGAAGCCAATAAGCTAATTTAATTGAATCCAAAATAAGAAAAAAGATTAAGAATATGACAGGGGTACATATATCCCTACAAACTTTTTTCAGGGGTGTATATTAATTAAAAATGGATACATTTATTACAAAAAAAAAGATTTTGGGAAAAATCATATTTCTAGTAAATAAATTATGTTATCTAGGACACAATCGTAAACTTCTGGTTTGGTTCCCAGTTCAAGGCCATGTATCTGCCCTGGGTCCTGTTTGGCTTTAATATGATTATTTCAGGTATATAATCTTATGATCACGTGACTCAAGTTGTTCGTAGATTTTTCCAGATTTTAGAAAGTAAAAGTCTAAAATAAAAACTATAACCAACATTTTATTAAACATGTAATTTTGTTCTACTCGTCTTGGATTTAAAGATATACACTCTTGAAAAAGATAACTTTGCATATTTGGCCCATTTGTTACAATAAGTCTTAGAAATGGACCAAGTTTTGGAACTAATATCCTCTGTATTTAGTTAAATTTGGTCTATGTTAATTTTTTTCACTTCCATGCGATATTTACCAAGACGACATTTTAAAGTGGTTCGTGGATACTCTGAACTTTAGTGAACAAGGCGACATTTGTATCCCTATTAGACATTCCTCTCATCATGACGACATTCGGCAGCTTTTTTCTGTCAAGTGGAATATAAGTTAGATAGAGACTTGAAAAGTCGTCTTATTCACCTAACTTCTAATTAAAATGTATTAAGTCGACATTTAAAATCTGTGCTTTGTGGGGACGTGGGTCCTTTAAAAGCTTAAAATGTCATATTGTAAAGCTTTTTAATCTTTAAAAGCTCGAAACTGTTAAAATGGTCCGTGTTTGTCAAACTTGTAATGTCGTCTTTCTTACTTGAACTCTACCGTCAAGTTAATAGTTCAAAGATTTGATTTTTTAACATGTTTCTCCTCATTAAGTTAGGTACAGGGTAACCCTCAAAGGATGTGACTTTAGAGACGACTGTGCGGAAGTTGTTAATTCCGTTTTCTTACATTTAAGGTTCCTTGTAGGCCAGTACAGGCTTATTTCTGTGCTTAACCATTTATTAAACTTTAAAAATACTAAAGTAATGCAAAAACCAAAAATTCAAGCATCAAATCGTAATATTTTTATAGTTTTAGGTCGTCTTTACAGTCTCATCCTGTGTGGGTAACCGTGTTTATATTTTATAAGAAAAAAAGGAAACTGTGATATCTGGAAATTGTGAAAAAGTTATTTACAAGGTTACAGTAATAAATTTCTTCAAATAGTGATGTTGAATTGATAAGTATAGTTTATCTAACTCTAGGTGGTGGAGTGATGGAGTTGGTTGGTATTCTGATTGGACATATGTATTTCTTCCTCATGTTCAAGGTCTCTATTTACAATTTTTATTCAGGGTAAAATATGGGTTAAAAAATAAATCTATGTGTTTAAAAAATTCGGGTTCGGATTTTTAATCCGTCATGAAAAAATAATTGTTTCGGATCCTTTATTCGTTCTTTATTAAATTTATCATAAAAACTTACTAATTTATCTCTATTTAGCCACAAGTTATTTAATTTGGTGGTTAGTCCCTTGAACTAACGTCATCGGAACTATCGATTTTTTCGCTTTTGTTCATATTAGAATGTTATGCTTTCTAGTTTCTTGTTTTATTTTTAAGATTATAATGTTTTACTATTTGCTTTTATTTTTTACGTCATAATTTTATGCGAATGAATTGTAATCCATATGATCTCTTTTTTACTGTTGGTAGCACTTGTGATATAATCTTTATTCTAAATACTACATTTGGAAGCAAACATTTTTTAGAAATATAAACAATTGTCGAAATATTCAATAGCTCAAACAACAGTAGGTCGAACATTTTAGCATCTTAAAAAAATGCTAGCAGCATAGATTAAATGTCGTCGTGCTTATACCAGTACCGATTAGGGTTTGCAAAACTCATGCATGGTTTACAGCAGGATACAGCTGTCCCATATGCAGATATTTTACAATTTATCAGAATTTAAGTAGTCACTGAAATTGTAAAATCTGAAGAAGATAATACTCACACTCATCCTTGTAATGTTCAGTACCCTCAGGATTTTGGTGGACCATCTCTGCTCTCTACACCTTCCTTTCTCTACCAGTATTTCCCCAACAGGCGGGGAGGTGTTTCAGGTAACTCATTTAGTCCCGGTTACACGTAAAGATTAAAATGCCTATAAAGTGCCTTGGAGGTCAGCTCTATCTAGAGGTGAACATTCAACTACCTTAAACAACGACAAGAAGGCCTTGGTCGGAATGGTATCAGAACACATGACAATATGGTTTTGATACCAAATAATATTCTTTTTTTGCGTGTTTTTTTACCTTCGGAAGTCAGTCATATGTTTAAGCTCAAAGACATGAAGAATTTAATAATTACCATATTATACCAGTGCTTAGGCTCCATTTTATTTTGATACGGATCCGATGCCCTGTATAAAAAGGATCAGGTCCCCGGTTATAAACATTTCCTTAAAGGGAGTGACCGGCTATGAAAGGTAGTTGAACTGAGTATACAGTGTTGTGGAAAGCTTCTTTCGGATGATTCATTTGAGACATATTAAACTTTTTTCGACGACGACTATAATGTAAAAAGTTCTACAATAAACTGCAGACTTCATGTATAGGAACATGTTGAGAAAATAAAAATTAATCTTCTCATCAAAAATAAGTAATCTTGTTCAATCATTAGTTTCTATTATCTCATTATTATGGTTTCTCATTATTCACAAAGTTTTCGCAGATTTTCTAGAATAATTATTGAAAAGACGACATTTGAAGAATTTGAAGAAATCTGCGAATAAATTCAAAGAAAATTAGAAATTCAATATAATAATGAAAACGAAATAATCGATTTTAGCATTGATTTATTGGCAAATTTTTTTGAGAAATATGTTCCGATACATGACGTCTGTAGTTTATTATAGAACTTTTTTACATTTTATGTCGTCGTTATTTAATAATTTTACAAAACTAATTCTGAAAACGTATTCACCCCCAAAGTAGGAGTTTTGAACGTTGAATTTGCGCTCAAACTCAGGATTTGCAGATCTTTAAAAAGTTTAATATGTCTCAAATGAATCCGAAATAAGTTTTCCACAACACTGTATACTCAGTTCAACTACCTTACATAGCCGGTCACTCCCTTTAAAGTGAAAAAATTTAATATTTCTTATTGTTTTCGCTTTGTTATATGCTGAAACATTCAGAGATTATGAATTTTATTAATCGCTCATTAGTAAACAGTTGAGAATGAGATTTGTTTTTGAGAGTAAAAAGTAAATTTTTAACATTTTTAGGACGATATTTTGTCCCCTGAATCCGGATCCTAAGCACTGATTTATTTATTAATAAGCATTACATTGTTCAGGATATGGACAGGCTCCAGTCAGTAGTGCTGGTGGCGGTGGAGGGGCAGGAGGCGGCGGGTTCGGTGGGGGACACCAGTGGGGGCAGGGGCATAGGCTCAATTAGATATCAACAAATTTATCGGAAATTCCGCAAGATTGAATCAAAAATCTGCAAGATTAAATCGAAAATCTGCAAGATTAAATCGGAAGCTCCACAAGATAGGATTGGATAATCCGTAAAATTGACTGCTGCACTAAATGTGATAATATAATCATGTAATTTTTTTGTAATTCCACATATTTATGGATTTATTGTCACCCTCAATTATTGTTACAAATCCAGTTTTTGAGTTTTGAGTATATTAAATCAAAAAATTTCTTCATTCATATTCTAAGGCTTTTTTAAATTATCCACTTGGATTAGTTTCATGCTTCATTTATTTTTAATTTTGTTTAACTTAGCATCAAGTGTTTTTTGAGGAGGATTTGTAATTAATTGAAAAATAATATAAATATTTCAAGTTCTTTATTATATAAATTGTAAGAAAATTTTGAAAGTTTTCCAAAAATGGGTTTGGGAATAATTCTAATATTTGAATCATGCAGATTTTAATGATTAGCTTAATTTTATGTGACGTAAAATAATCAAAGCTTAATTGTAAATTAGGTAAATTTGAAGATTTTCAAGAATCCCTAGAAAAAAATATATTAAAAGTTCTGCGCTAATAAGATAGATTAAAGACCTAACGAAGAGTAGTTTATATAACGGGAAAAAATTTAAATGCAATGTTTTATGTTATAAAATTCGTATTTCAATGATATTTAATGTTTCTTGTGATGATGTGACGTGTTTATGTTTCAGAGGTGAAATGACTGGTATCGGGGGAAAAATGGCAAAAGATTAACAGATCTTGTTCGACGCGATGAGGAAACTAAACAATACAATTCGGGAAAAAATCGGTAATTTTGTTGAATGACGTACTTTTGCAAGGGTGTATTCGCCATCAAATGGAAAGTTGCTTGTCGTATCAGATTCACATTAGTACCCTTGAAACCTGGTGTTGATCAAAGTTGGCGAACTTCTCTGTACTTTTTATTCGCTTGTAATCGTTGATATCTTTGTAAGTTGTTTTTCAGATTATATACTTAAATACTTCATATGTATTGTTAGATAAACAGGTCTAAATGATTATTATTACGCGAATTTTTATTTAAATCTTAACAACTTAACCTTTGGAATAGTTTAAAAGGGGTAATCTACAGAGCATTAAACCGGGACTGTAAGCGTAATTTAAAATGACCTTGAAGCCTGTATCTAATCAATATTGGGAAAATATTGCCGTTTTTCCAGTTTAAAAGTGGTCCGAATATGCCTATGGTTTACTGTAGTAGAACATGTCACTTTTTAAAGAAACTTCAAGCGGAATAAGTTTTCCAAGTTATAAACTTGATTATCTAATTCATATTTGATCAGACACTATTTTAAAGGTTGTAAATCGAGCAGTGCCATATTTGCATATATGGTCGCTTGAAATTACGCAAGGGTTACATGAAATTACGCAGTATCAAATAGTAAAATTTCGCGATTTTTTAAAACTCCGGCCCCCTCCCCCCTCTTACAACATACTTCACATAAAAGGTTGTAAGAAAAAGATTAAAATCAAAAGTTTCCTGTAAAAAAGTATTCCTAATTCTGTCTTCCCCTTATTTTATTTGCATTTTACCCGGAAAGCTTTCAACCAATTTAAATTCTAAAATGTTAACATGGGATTTCAAATATTCTAGAGAACCCAAGATAAAAATGATTAAGGAGATCATTATGGAAGATATAGGTTTCTATGGGTTATAATAAACAGTTAATATTGAAAGAAAAATCTTCAAAATTGCACATTTCTTGTAACAGAGATTTCATTCAAACCTTATTATCGAACGCGAAATCTAGTTTCTGTATTAGACTTGGCCACAAAAAAAGATTGACAAATTTTGAACTTTAAAGGTTTTCAAAGACCAAAAGAAGGAATTCAACATCAATGTTCTAAATTTTGAAAAATGATTATTTTTAATTGCGATTTCCCTACTAATGTGACTTGCGCAAATTCTACTGCTGAAAACATGTTTCAATTATCAGAATTTAACGCTTTTAACGACTCTTCTACATTTCATATCCAATGAAGGTTTCACGGGTACCGTAGTCACTTGAACATTGTCATCCTTGCTTGAAATGACGTTTACAATGCTTTTAAAGATTAGGACCGTGTAAGGTCAAAAAATATCCTTAGCACTGAAATCTATATAGTAAATTTTCAATTGTTAAATAATATTAGTTTTCTATTTCTAAGCGTATGAGTTAAAATACTTTTTTATCATAAAAAAATAATCAAAGAAATAAATAACTCTATTCTCTTAATTTATCTATATAATAAGCTCTTCGCTCATATATATTTATTGGTATAAATGTTAGCTATAGCTGGCAAAACGGCTGGACCGATTTGGTTGAATTTTTTTAGGGAACCCATGGATAATTTATGGGTAACAAAAGTGTTTGCTTTTTCAAAAACCTTTTCTTTNATAGACCCTTCATCTCCTTTCCACCATAGACCCCTCAACTCCTTTCCACCATAGACCCTTCATCCCAATTTGCTCTAAATCAATACATAATACATATTAATAAATGTATCTTTAGCGTTTCTCAGAAATTAACAAAAGAAATCTAATTTATTTCTTGTTCATTTTTAATATCTAACCTTATCTTTTATTAAATTCAGTTGTTAGAATTGTGAGAAATATATGTCATCTTCTATTTTCTTCATCATAATTTTATCATAGAAGTCAATCAAATCAAATCAAATCAGACTTTTAGGAACGCCCTACGACGACATTAACAATCTTGAAATGACGATTAGTTCTCCAGGGTAGTGTGGGTTTACACTTTGCTATGATTCGGTCATTAGATTTCTGGCATGTCCACTATCATCGATTTTTGAAGTTATATTTGTAAATTAAACTTTAAAACCTTATTTATTATGATTTTTTTCATCAAGAATTCTCTTCTGTTTGTTATTACAAATGTCCTGGGAAGGGGGGGGGGGG